TAGCTATAGAGCCGAAATTTACGTATTATGTAAAGAAAAAATATATATATTTTTTTGCCATTTCCTTGCTGCTAATCTGGAACACTCGTGTCGATATATCTTCGGTGTGTCTTACAAAATAATCACGTTATATTTTTTACGCATATAATCCTCGTACCATCGAATAAACCAGATTACAGTCTGTTGGCAGAGAACAAACCATAAAACGCAGAACGAAGGTAGCCGTACCTTACTGTCTGCTTGATTATCTTGTCGAATAGTCTAGAAAACAGGTGAACGAACATACACACAGGGTAATAACCGGCCTCTTGATATTTACTTTAGCCACTGTGAATGAGCTTGACCATACGACGACCTTATTTAAGGTCAGTTTTTTAACAACAATCAATTAAACAACATTGAGCCATTGATAATCATTAACGCGATGATCATTTTGTCGGAAACCGTTTGGATGCGATTTAAACGCAGAGTCCTAAGTGGAATCTGATATAAAATAGATTCTCGGAATTTGAATTTGAAAAGGGGAGCCGAAAGTTGGTCACTCTGCCTAAAATCTGTTTTATTAGAGGAATTTTGCGGAATTTCTGGAATGAGCACTACATTAATTATACTCGGATACGTTAGATTCAATAATTTCACGGAAATTTTCTTTTAAATCACATTTCATTTGTGACGTTATTCAAGCCAAAAAACATTATCGTTAACTTTTTTAAACGGTTTCGCCCAGTAGTCTGTCATGAGTTTCAAACAACCACAGACCCTTAAGGATGAAATTGCGCAATGAAATTGTTTGATCATTGAACTAGGATTCCGAGATTCCACTCTCTTAAATTAGTCCAAAGCAGACATATCTTGCATCTCATTTCTGCCAATAAAAATGTGTTTATTTTCCAATTTTTAAGCCAAATGTTTTCCCTTCCCTTCAGGACAGGGTTAAAAAAAATTGTAATGTTTTCATCAGGGTTGAGTTAATTCTAAGCTTCTTGGATACATCAGAAAGGAATGACGAATAGGGCACAAAAAGAAAAGATGAGTCAACAGCTATCAAGAATTAAAATGTCCACGGTCGAGTTGTTATATAAATAATACATTCCACTCTACAGGACCGACACTTTGAATCAATAATATATAGTTTATCTAGAAAAACAATTCATTATTTTCTAATGGCTCGCTGACCTTCTACAGGTCACATAATTAATCTGGAAAATTTCCTTCACATGCTTATCTTGGCATTTGTTTCATAATCTACATATATATATCTGTTTAAATTATATACAGTCCTATTTTTATAAACATGGGGTATTTAAGTCCTTATTGTCACCTGATTACAACAAGACCATAGCTATGATTCGGCGACGATCCAAAATGTCTTATTTAATCGCTTCAGCTACCTGAAAAATTGTTTGTGGGTAGCTGAAGCGATTATCAAAATAAGACTTCTACTACGGCCTACGTTTATGCCCTAGTCAGAATGCACCAAATCAACCCCTATTTTGCTTTGGGGAGAACCCCCAAGCCCATCCATGGTAGGGTTGCAATTGGAATCCATTTTAAACCTTGACAGTTGTACCTCCATTAGGCTAGCCTGACCCCTATTTTGTAACCTTGGCTAGCGGCTCCATTGTTTGAGAAAAGATGGAAAAAAGCATTGATGTATGTTTGGCGCTGCTACCTTGCACAATAAATTGTGGATATTCAGCGATGCTGCTACCTCTTGCTTGCAATCCGGGGGGAAGTGTGTCAAACGAGAGCCCCGACATACCTTTTCAGATTTTAGAGGACAGCATTTACTTTTATCACCCGTTTTATGTATCTGTTACTTCTGAGTCTGCATCAAAGTTCCATTTTTACTACAACAATCAGATGACATCAGTTCGTTGCAAGGCAAACTAGGTTATCCCTTTGACCGTTTCCACGTAACAAATAGTCACAGTCGGAGTGATCATGTAAGGTCTTATCGACAAGTTACAAACTGCTCTAGATAAGATGGTGGCAGATTTCGACCGGCAGGAATATTCCTTTTCCAATTCCTCCAAGAAACAAGAACATGGGAGAACTGTCGGCATCTACGACTTTTCGTGGATTAAAAACAATTTGTTCCGTGTTTCGGGAGAAAGGGGTTGTTAATTATGGGGTTTGTCGTCTTCATCTTTGATTTAGAAGAGGCAGCTATCCGGTCTCTCATTCAGAGTATTGTATTTGAGGTTCACATCTTTCAATAAAGTGATGAAAATGCCTGTGACATATTTCCACTTGAATGATAATTTACACCAACAAGAACATAAACCTCTATGACCATATTAATATTGCGTGCGTACAAATGTTTGGATTTATTTTCCATTTACATCTATTAAATGTTTCTTTTTGTTCTGGTTACATAAATATAAAGCAAAATAAAAAACACAATTAGAATTGTATATTTGTATTGAAAAAAGCAGAAATAAACAATTAATAAGATGAATAATATACAATGATAAAAAATGAAATGACTGAAGAATGGAATAAATAACAGTTATTTTTTGCATTAAAAATACATTAAGTAATGTCTTGACAGAATTTATAAATACAAATAGCAAATATATATCAGCAACTACAGGGATTTGTACAATACAGTAAATATACATACTTTAAAATTTTACTTTGATATTCTTTAAATCAAGAACCAAACAATTAGATCGAAACTTTTATTTTGATTATAAGCAATATAAATTAAAGAAAACTTCTAATGTAGTTTTAATGGGAATCTATATAAAGAGATTAATTTACAATTCTAGCTACACTACAAGACAAGTAGTAACATGGAGGAACAAAGATTGGAATGTTTCATGATATTTTACACAGATGATACTGAGCAAAAGTATTTATATACATAATTATGATTTATAATCAATGCTAGTTTTGTAAACGAAGGATGACATAGAAAGAAATGGAATAGAAAGACATGATATACTCTTAAGCAATGATGTGAACTTTGATTTTTTTATCGAATTCCTTGTAATAGCTGATCAAATAAACATAAACTACTCAAAATAGGTACTTTAGATGGTTAAAATACAAAGCATTGGGTGTTGTTTTGAAAATAATACTTATCAATAGTATAAAACCAGTGCAAACAGTTTAGAGTCATATGAAAACAAATAACAACCTTTGAGCTATCTCAAACTGACATGTAAGATAACAAACATTGTTTATGGATCCAAAAAAATATATAACTACTTGTATAATAAATACTATTAAATTTCAAAATATACAGAATGTTATACAATAATAATCATAGGACATTTAACAAATTGTTAAAATTTACTAAAGCCTGAATAACCATGTGTATCAAATGGTTAAATAACAGACATCTGTTTGACTACAGTCTGTTTGATATAATGAATAACAGGCCACAAAAATTAAAATATCAATATTTTAGTTACCCAATGAAAATAACATAACAAAGTGGTAGGTTATATTACATAACAAAACAGGTTAGAATAACAATTTAGATAATAAATGTTAAAAATGTAAAACGATCACCAATATTTAGGTTTATGGGACAGAAAGAGTAAAGTTGGATATATCTTGTCAGCATAATCATAAAATGATAAATTCACACACTGTTTATCAATATGATTGATATGTTTTCATCATGTGTCATACTAAACTTGTACAATATTATTTCAGTGCATCTGTAACTGAAAAATTAGATGTAAATTTTGTCTCTATTCACTTTCAGGTTATATTAAGCAGTAGTGGCTCTCAGTAGGTGACAGCTGTTCAAAATATAAAAAATGTAAAATGAGAGTGCACTCAGTATTATTAAAATACTATAAAATAGAGATCATCTGAAACGATATTTTCATATGTTTCATTCCATTATATACACATTTAAAAAGAATTTATTACAAAATCAAGAGGCACCAAAATTGCATATTAAAAACATCCTCCATTCTAATAAAAAAATATTGAGCATGTTAGATTATGTACAATTATAAGGGAATTTGTGATCATGGCAGGTAAATGAATCTAAATATGCTTGTGTTTCCAACACATGAATACAGTAATAAAACACACAAATTACATAAAATATAAGGTGTGTGTTCAATTACCAACCTTAGCATCAAAGAAAACTAATTCTAGTATTTCTTATATTTGTTTCCAAAACTCAAGAAAAATTCATTTGAGGAAAATAGAAAAACAAGAGTTATCCACCAGAAAATAAAAATTTGCCTCATAATGACTGTAATGTGTTTCGATTCAGCCTAGAAATCTATCTGCTAATGAAAGGAATGATGGATGATGACATATGAAATACGAGAAAAGCACGACTTGATATGGTCTACAAGATACTTGACAATTCCAATAACACTGGAGATATGAGATATAATAACAATGACAAATTTTATACAAAATGTTTTGTCTGTTTTTATATATTCTTTTACTAAAAAAAAGAAAATGATTCATATTTTTTTCTGTAGGTTATTCACTCATACTTTGAGCTGACAGCATTTAAAAGAAAGATGCGTTCTGAAATTAAACCAATCAAATGCACTGATCAGTAAGAACAGAAGCTGGCTGTGGAATGGTTACCTTTACAAATTCTGTTATCAAAATATCATGAATGGTTAAATGTTGAAAATGTAAATGGTGGTTCATGATATGCTTTTGCATCAATATATATGACAAAATAATGACTCTGACTAAAGTCTATATGAAACTTACTTAATTTCATATAAGGGTCTAAATATACGGTCTAGGTCAGCCCAACTTATTTGGCTTAACAGAATAAAATATGCAAAACCACTAGAAAAACCCAGTGAATTATCCCTGAAAGGCTGATTACTCTTACTGAGCCTAATTGAGAAAGGTGAATCATCCAGCACGATTTCATACAGCCATTTGTTGAGATATTATATAAGAGAATTGAAAAAATTCTATTCAATAGGATGCCAGAGAGTGGGTAGTCCATGACTGTATAAACAGGTAATGATTTACAATGAATGATTATGATAATGTTAAATAGGTAGTGGTGTTTTTCTATCTGTTAAACTATTAATATCTAATTCTTCCATTTCAACAGCATCTCGATATTGAGTTAATTCTTTAGATATCTTTATTCTGGTATAGTTTGCTGCTAGTGTCACCATAAATATTATCTGAAAAATTTAAAAATTGTATCATATTTCTGCTGTCATCTCATTTTTGGACAGCCATGATAAATATAACCCTCTTTGTATAGGCATAGTCAAGCAGGTAATTAAGGGAACCTTAAAGGACAGATGTGCCATTCTGGGGGGTTGGTTAGAGTCTTGATAGTCTTCAGAAGTACTAAATGTACAAAAATTACATAATTTCTTCAAAAATATCTCAAACTAGGAATTTATTTTCTCCAGAAGTATCTCCAGAAAAGACAACTCATCTTTTTAACTTGCAAATGCCAATAATTCTGAACACACATTGATTTCAAGGCTCATATTTCGACTGAGAGCTGTGAACACTATTACTGTTTTTGAGGCTAAGGTATGATTGGTCATAAGATGGCGCATCTGCCCCTTTAAGCAATTTATTTTAAGGCATTTTAAATGGTTATGAACTCAATAGAGTTCTTACTTAAAGATATATTTTAATAACCATTTATTCTACTTCAAAAGAAAACAGTATGCTCTAAGTTATTGATAGCCATCAGATTCAAGTCTATATAACAGCAATGAATATGTATATCATAGTCAATATAGAGAGTTCAGTAAAACACAGTCTCATAAATTCCATATCAACACAAGAATCTATTCAATTCTATCAATAATTAATTCACTTTTAATTAACTATGCAATGAATTTTTTAATCAAAAGTTTAATAAGCTAGCCATATTAACTGTATGCTCTATTTCAAACTTTCAATTTATATAAGCCAAATCATTCAGATTCAAATTTAGAAATAGATGTTTCACTTTGTGTCAATTTCTCTCAGCAACTCTCTGAATTCAATAGAAGCTTATTTAAAGGGACAGATTTGCAATTCATTTAACCAATCGTTAAGCTAATCAGTAATTGTGTTTACAGTTTACCTTCTAAATTTGAGTCTTCAAATCCATGTGAGTCCAGAATTATCTGTATTTGAACTTGTGACTATAGTGATTTCTAGTACTTGTTTACATATATTCAATACCAAAATGGCGAAACTGTCCTTTTAAAGGAGAACTTTCTCAGAACGATGATAGTGTGTTGAAAATCACCTAAGGAAGATGCAGGGGCTTGTTTTTTTGTCCAATCTTAGCTCACAGATTAGAAGTTAGATATAGATTGTTAGGTAGATTCGAGGAGGGTTTTCTTGTGAAATGAAGTATTATCATCATATCAAATAGTCAATTCTTACCAGTCCTAATACTATACATAGAGCACCACAATAAGCCACACAAAATAGTGGGCCAGCTTCTAATACCTGCAGAAAAAAAAACAGAATACAATTGGGGTAAAAACCATAAATCATAAAGAAAAAAGTCAGTAAAAGACTGAAGTGGAATTAGAAATTCTTTTTCATTCTAGAAACTTCATTGTCTCCTTGAATCTTCATTAAAATTCTAATCACAGTCATATTTTTTATTTTAGGAAATATTATATTGAGATTAACAGATAAAGAGAGCAGAAAAGTTAAGGCCATTGAAGATTTCAAAACATGATATATCATATCTTTATGATGCAATAGTGAGAAATGATTAATGATTTTATAATTCAAAACAAAAGATGTAGATCACCTTGCTTTATCTGATAAATTTAAGGGAGTTCAAGGGAAAATATTTAACAAGGGAGTGTTTGTATGTATATATGTATGAGCATAAAATATGAAATAAAATCTCTAAGTTTTAATAAGTAAATTATGTCATTATGATAACTATGATAATACTATGTAATATTAGCATGGAAATAACACTAAACCTTTAACATTATTAAGACATCACAAAACTCAACAACAATACGATTGGCTTTATCAATACAAATAATTATAAGGAATATGAACAAAACATATTTACTGCTTTGCATGAATAATAAGTTTTTAAATTTTGTTAAAAATTTGCCACAGTTAGAAATTAATTTGTTCTGATTGCTAAGTTTTGGTGACTTTATGATATAGTAAATGCACAAATAACACAAAAGCATGTGCAGTTTTTCAATGTGCACTATCATGTGTCAGAAAAAGTTCTTCTTGCTTACTTACATGCAATACAATGAAATTCCAAAGTTTCAGATTTAAATATATCTATTCTAGATTGTCAGAGGTCAGTGAGAGATATTAACTTTGACATTCAGAACATATGTACAGTTGACCAGCTTCTATCAAGTGCCAAATCAAAATTCCAATGATGTCAGATGTTATTTTTAATTCTTAAAATTCTTAATTTGGTCTTTTAAGAGGCATGAGGTGACTAAAGCCCAACGCAGACGAAAATTTTAAGCGAACAATCGTAAAAATTTTGTTTCGATCATTTTTTTCACCGTCTGCGGATTACAGAAACACGAACAAAAATGTTCGTGAGAATTGTTCGTTAAATCAAACATGTTTGATTTTTTTTAAAATTGTTCGCCGTCTGCGTTAACGACGAACATTAGCGCCGAACATTCAAAGACCAATCAGTGATCGAAGCCAGACCACATGACACTCAAAATGGCGAAGTGAATCCACCAACACAAAATTTTGGACTGTGGAGATGGAGGAGATTTTAGTACATATGTGGTCGCAATCTGCCTCAATATTGTGTTGAACTCATCTTTATCTTTGTCAACCCGGAAATATCGCCGATACATTGCTGGATCGTCACCCGACAGCTCCTGTACAAGGTTGCCGAACACACCCTGCTCTTTACGACGTTGAATCCAGGTACGGACCCAAATGCTCCTATATCTACGTTGGCGTCTTTTTACAATTAATAAAATAGCTAACGCAATTTTACATTTTCTTCTGGACGTCGCCATTTTGAGGTCATGTGATTTTCCGTGCCACTGGCGTAGGCCTATTGTTCGAGCTAAATGTTCGTCGTCTGCGGAATTATGTTTGTCGTCTGCGGATAACAGAAAACAAATATATTTGTTCGATGTTTTTGTTCGTCGACAGAAATGTTCCTCGTCTGCATTGGGCTTAAGATACTTAAAGATACTAAATGATAGATGTAGTCAAACCATATTATTTGTCACCATTCCACCCAATAAGAAAGTCTTTAAATCTGAGATCATGTCCTAAAATTCCAGTTTCTCAGTAATTACAAATGTTTCTACAAAGGGAATTCTTTGAAACATCCCCTAATAAGGTGGCAAGAATACCTGCAACTGTCCTTAAAAATTGATTAGGACCTATAAGTAATTTACTTTTCTTATGTAATCCTTAAACGACATTTAGGGGTCATTTAGACTATATTGTTCAGTAATGGTTTAAAAGCACTCGTTTACCTTGTCGAGTGAAAAAAAGTTTCCCCCACACACAACTAATACAAGTTTTGATAATATTTCAAACTATATCATGTTGAGTGATATATTACAAAATAATAATATTTTAATAGTTTATTCATTTGACCTCTAAAATTTTCCATAATTAAATTCAATTTAAGACCTTGATACCTGTCATAACAATCTCCATATTGAAACAGGATATTCGGTCATAAAAATTCCATTCCCTCGAATAAATCTTAACCGTGACAAAGCCAGAATAATATTCATGTCAGAATTGCTTGAATGTAAATTAGATGTCAGACTGGCTTTGTTTTCAAACAACATTAAGAACAATTTTTGACTAAAATATTTTAAATAAAATTTGTAATCATTCATTGTGGTGTGACAATAATAATTGTGGTATTGTGTCATTCCTATGGCAGAGAAGAGTGTTCAGTTTGCCCCTGCTCATGCCTGATGTCTCATTTCATGTTTTATGTATTAAGGTGTTCTCACCTATAAATAGGTACAAATTAGGCAAGAAGTATAGTCAAGGCCATGACCTCATAACGAAAGGTTGGTCATTAAAAAATGTTCGTATGTCGAAACAAACTTTTGAGAAAAAAAACCTGTTCTAAAATATTAAGCCATGGAAATTTTGTTTTCTATGGGATACACCAATCTATTGTTGACTACATACCTTATCACACATTCTACGAACTTCATAGTGTTCACATAGATATTCTTTACCAGGTGGTTGAACTCCCATACCATAACTTTCATTACGATATACACCTGGAATAAATAGAATGAGATAATTTGTAAATAATGTCAAAAGACAAAAAGAATTACTCATTATCGCACACATGAACCCATAATATTTATAAAAATGCAAGTAAAGAAGAGTGCTAAAATGTGTTATATATTTCACATAACAAAATTTCTTCTGAATAAAGAAAGTTTCATTGTTTGTCACATCTTCAAAATAATTTTGCCAAATTCATCAACCTGAATTAACTGTTATTATTTTTAATTTAGATCTAATAATGTTACTAGTCAATCATATATTGAAACTATTCAGAAATAGTGTAATCACTTACCAAATTGTGTTAAATTAAAACAATAGTGAAAACTGGAAGAGGTACGACTATAGACCTCCATGCTACATATCTGACTAATGGCAGCATAGATTATAATAGGTACAACAACTACTGATAATATAGCTATCCAGGCTAAACTTAATACATATGATATTACCATAAACTACAAGAGATGTACACGGTAAATAATCAAGATACATCAACAAAAAAACATAAATAAGATTAGAGAATGAAAACTTTTCGAACGAAGCTTAGAATATTAACACCATACAGGTTTTCAATAATGGTAACCTTCAGTACATGAAGACTTCTACATTTCCTACACTTATTCTTTGTTATTTGCAATAAAAAAAACCGAATACAAATTATGCATTGCAGGCCTCAAGTTGGGAGACTAAAGGGAAATAACAATTATATCTGAGAATTTCAGAACTTAGACTACAATGATTTTCTCATTAACTTGATCATCCTCCAACAAAAATATAACAATTTCGAATTGTGATGGCCTGAAACAAATTGCTTTTAACTTAATTATCATCAGGTATATATTTAACAAAGGGTAGTGATAGTTTTATAGCAACTAAGTAGTGTAAAAGGGATCTTACAAAGGCCGCAGATATTCTTCCTCCCATTATGCATTTATTTCCAGAATAGAGGTTTTCTCTGGTGGCACCAGTTGCTAAATAACCAAATACCAGGAGAATGATACCAAATACAGCCATTGCTACAGCTAATATGATGAACACTACTTGGATGACCTCTAACCTAAAATTGAATGGTCATATGATTTCATTTCGATCTTACTACAGATTTGACTCAGTATTGCACAGAATTCATACAAAAATAGGACCTATCCGTCTTTTGCTAAAATTGTTAGTTGCTATTGCCCTGAAATCTAAATCAAGACGTATAATTTTAGCAAAATTAATACCAATCAGGGAATCAAATGCCACATTGCTCTCTACTATTGGCCCTTACTCTCAATGTGGCACAACAGTTTCACAAAATTAGTCCATCTATTGCTTTGGTTGAACTGTCTCTTTCTCAGTTTGTGTAGCACCATAATTAATCACTTATTTGTCAAAGAGAGGACTATACCTACCAGCTGACATTGAAGCCGAAGAGATCATTGAGAACACCTTCTATTATCAAACTTAATCCTCTGTACAGTGATCCACAAAACACTGCCACACCTATCACACATATTATTGTTGCTGTCAGGGAGGCAAACGGTGTCTTTCCAATACAATCATAGAATCCTACAATTAAAAGATCAAAATTAAAACACATTCCATCATACTCCGTCCACTTTTCATAACACTGACTATGCAAACTCGGACCACTTTTCGAACAGACTGAGACCACTTTTTAAGAAACTCAGACCAATGACTTTGCAAACTCAGACCAATTTTTTGAACTCGGACATTGTTCTGAGTCTCAAAAAAGGGGAGTGTTGTGAAAAGTGGTCCTAGTGTGTTGTGAAAGTGATTCGAATGTGTTTGAAAAGTGGTCCGAGTTTGTTATGAAATGTTTTTTTTTTAAAAAGTGGTCCAAGTTTGCTTTGGTGTGAGTTTGATTTGGTCCAAGTTGTCCTCATTCCACTATGATCTTTTTATAATATATAAGTATTTTTTGCATCTTAAAGTACTTCAAGATCTTGATTCAAATATATTGAAAAAAAAGTAGCCATTCTTAAAGAAACGGTCTTTTCAAAGGGGGAATGATTTGCAAAATGACTGCAACCTATGAAATCAACCTCACCCTATTGCATTGTACTAGTAGTAATATTTCAAATATCGGAAAAAGAATCAAAACAACATAACTTTCAAGAACTCATTCAAGTTGTTTTGTAATTGAAAACGCCATCAAAGACATCAACAACATACCTGCCATCTTGGCTACTTAAAAATAATTTTAAAAATATCAAATTCACTCATTTAATTTCAATAATTCCAAAAATTTATATTATATGCAAATTGCATTTCCGGTATTATAGGTGTCGCCAGTGATTCAGGTAACTCTCACCTGTAAATAAGTCGCCATTGTCCAGTAGATTTACCTGGCTGATAATGCAATCACAATTGTCCAGTCTTTTCCCCAAATGTCACATATTTACACATTTCTTTTCAACCATGTAGTGAATACATATACTGTCGAAATACATCACCCTCCAGCTATTTTATCATGTTCTCATGTTTATCATGTCCTTACTGTGCAGTATATATTAATTTACCAGACAGGTAATAATAGTCACCATCTTTCAGTCTCTTACCTGCCAAGTAACATAGTTATGTTTGTAAGGTAGCAGACGATAAATCTTAAAAGTCCCACAGAAAAAATAAATAAAAGGGTAGCTAGCTATTTAATCACCGAATATGAACATGTACTCTTAATCACATACTTCGTATTTAGAAGTGGACAAAGAACCAGATCAAAACTCTCTGTAAGCAACTAACAGTCCTGAGGAGCAAGGATGCAATTTATAGACGAATAGAAAATACAGTATAGATAAAGTCTTTGAATGGCATTTAGCACTAGAGAGAACGATATATAGACACAGCTTTATGGAACAACAATCACTGGTTAAAGTTTTATGCAACG